ATAAACTGAACACCTCAATCAATTGCATGATCAATTTTCACAGTGGCCATGACAGTGTTCGGTTTACACAGGTTTCACTGTAGAAAAGACCTGTATAACTGAACACCTCAATCAATTGCATGAACAATTTTCATATTGGCCATGACAGTGTTTGGTTTACACAGGTTTCACTGTAGAAAAGACCTGTATAACTGAATATCTCAATCAATTGCATGATAAATTTTCATAGTGGCCATGACAGTGTTTGCTTTACACAGGTTCTACTGTGGAAAAGACCTTCTATAAACTGTATAAACACCCCACTGAACTGAACAAAAAAACAAAACTCACCTTGTGAATCTACAAAATAATCAGTCGTAAATGAATTCCAGTGTTTCTTAGTTTTCAACGACGATGAATTGAAGTCTTGACTAATAACATGCATATGTAAATGACTGGGGTGAATAATAAAAAGTGCAAATCATTTTAAATGTTTGTTGTTTATGTAACAATACAGGAAGGGTTTTATTCTAAATCTTGCAATCTTCCTGGAAATGGAGATTATTCTGCTAAGTGGCTTTTGACTACTCAACTCAACAAAAAAATGTTGATTTCTACTTTCATAAGCTAATTTTTGAACCAGAATGTCAAAAAACGGCCACTGCAGTATTTACTGACTTGTTCAATGTTTGATCTTTCTAACTGAAAGAAACATAAGCTTACACTCTGCACACACACATAGTAAGGTATCCCATATGATGACATATTGAGAACACACACAGGTAGCACGTTTAATCATGGCCACTCCCACAAAAAGCTTCATACATTCATAAGGTTAATGAACAGATTAGACTATATCCTTCCCAGTGACTGCCCATTCAGATGTACTGTATTTGCTCTATTAGAAGCACATCTCAATAAAAGCACATATAAATAAAAAAAATTTGTTGCATAATGAATCAATAAAATATGACTTATTTTGAACACAGAAACAATACTGCAATTTACGTAAGCACTACTAATAGAGCAAATATGGTAATCATGGGCGATAACACATGTTGAAACCCTGAGTCCACCACCAAGTTTTAAAATGGTTCTCCCCTTTCAGTTGTTTGTAACTTGGTGTAATAAGTAATAGCTTTCCCAAAAAGATGATAATTCATACTTTCCAGCATCAGAACTATAGCCAACAGTTGTGTTTGAAAATTACAAAAGAAAACATCTCGAATAATACAATTCCCAAATATGACTGGGATAATGCAGTGCATTGTGGGAGTTTTGTTTCAACTAACCTCATACTTGGAACACAATGATAGCCTCTTCGAAACTCAAATCCAGAACTGGCATGGCTACAAGTAATAAAATGACAATTAATGTTCACAGATTAAAGCCTGGCAAAATCTGAGTACTTTTTAAGAGCAAGTTGCAAATGCAGCATTACATGAACTGGAAGTACATGTACATTTTGCCACAAACAACATTCACAAATTGATCAATACATTATCAAAATATTTCCTGAAAATTGCTGATATTTTGTGAATATATTGCTCATTGCTATAGAAATTCATATGTGGAAAAACAAACTGGCACAACAGACTAAAACTTTTCAAATAATGCGTTTTAGTTTATTCTGCTATGGAATTGATACACAGGATTCTGTGAAAAAAAAGTAAGACAAGACCCATTCAACTGACCATTTCCCGTTCACCATGAGATTCCACATTTTGCATAAAATGACATATGAAACAGGACAAACAAAGACCATACATGTAGCATCGTCAGGATGTCATAACATCATGTGGGATTCGACAAACACGCAAATATTTTCACACTTATTAATGTGCTATAAATATTTGATGATGATCAATTTTTATGAAGTAAGGGTATCTTTACACAATATTCCCATTCAAAAAATGGCATTGAGACATTGAGCTATAAAAAAGTAATTCAAATTGCTTGATTTTTGTGGCAGACGTTCGCTTTTCACACAATATGCAAGATTTCGTAGTAAACTGAAAATCACCTATTGTGAAAAATTATCTTATTTTTTGAAACTCAAGGTAATAAAAAAATGTGTCCAGAATAACATTTTCTAAAAATACAAAAAAGGAGGTATGAACCTATTTGTAAAGATACATGTACAAATGTATGTTTGTCTTCAAGCTTAAATATATTCTCACAAGAACATTCCTGCATGTCCACTTCTAATCTATTCCAGTTGTACTGAATCATCTTACACAATCTTTCTATCATAATGACAATTTAATTACTCCATCATGTATCAGTGTTTAAAGCATGTCCTATTGGAATATTTAGGCAAGACGCCCCAGCCCTGCTGATATTAATTGTCATAGCCAAGGTAATAATCCTTCCAAAGTGGCACTTAATTTGTTAGAAAACAACTGTGAATACTCTGCCCTGGGTATGAGTACCAGTTGAAAGGTTTACCAGACATAGGATTTAAAATTATGATTAACCTAAATGCACCAATTATGAGAAGGATGTAACAAGCACTACGCAACTAGCCCATGATCTGTTTGACTGTTCCAACTTACCTATCAATAAGATCTTTTCCTTTTTTGTGCATGTGTTTTAGAAGTTCAAGGTGCTGCTTCTTCAGACTTTTCAGGTTTGGTATACTAATATGTGGTAATACAAGATAATGATATCTAGCCTGTAGTCAAGAAATAAATAGTGCATTTGCTTTATTATCCATATTGTTTTGAGATGCATGAAGTGAGATGCTGGCTTGTTTGAGTTACAGATATTGGGTTACAAAAACATTGTGTTACAAAAATGACCATTGTGCATGAAATACCTCCATACAGACTTCTTTTCCCATCAGTAAGTAATTTACGATCTACAGATCTATAACAATGCATCAGAAATCCTGATAGAGAGACATAGTTAACCCGGATGTCTAATGCTAAAGTCAATACATCATTAATATTTTTGTGGGCCATTGCAGATAAGTACATTTGTAACAAGCACAAATAAAATGAGAACACCTTATTTTGAAGATAAAATAATTTTACATTAATGTTATCAGAGAGCTCTGTCCAAATGTGTGAAGGTCAATTGGCTGGGAGCCAATTCATTACTTAGACACAGCACATACAAATGCAGTTTAGCAAGATGTCTATCAATTTTGCAAAACAGCTAACTGACATCCTAGCAAAATCAAAGAAACTTAAAAGAACAAGTAAAATCTATTCACTATATATTTATAGTTAGCACATGTAC